GGACCCCCCCGCCGCTGATAGGGCCCTGGGTCGTGACCCGGTGGAGAGGGAGGGCCCGGGCCCTCCACCCCTCCTGCCCTGAACCCCGGCGAGTAGGGGCTCTGCTAAAGGACTAGACCACTGAGCCTGGATACTAAGGACTAGACCGGGAGGCCATATTTCCCCTACTACAGGGGCAGTGTACTTGGGAACTAGACCCGAGTGGTCTGGATTATGCCCCAGACGGGGGCGGCAACCCCACGCGAGGAGGGAGCCCCCTGACAACATCCACCTGAATAAATAATTTCCCCAGCTATTAACAAGCCTTGATCCTTCCACTGAATCTTACACAGTCCAAGGATATCGAATTTATACTTACTCGTGTCACTGGTTACTTGTGCTAGCTTTCCAGTAATATTCAAAGTCCATATGTTCCAGATGGCTATGGAAATATTAGTTCTGGCCATTAGAATTTGGAATATCGGGCACATGACTTCCCAAGGGCTTTCATCGTGAGCCATCATAATTGCACCAATAGTGTAAATAGGGATACAATGTAGAAAATTGTTAGGCAATATGGAATTCTGATGAAACTTATCAATGTAATGAAGGCATTTTACACTAACACCAAATGTTGTGTTGAAATGGATAGAGGATTAAGTCAGTCATTTGCCCTTGGAGTACAGCAAGAGTATATTCTGTCTCCATTCTTGCTCATCATTGATTATGGCCTCAAGCAATGTAAGAATAATCAGTATAGCTTAAGATGAAATCATTCAAGATTATTTGATCTAGATTTTGCTGATGACATTGTTCTTCTGCATGAAAATCCTGAGGGACTTCAACCATGCACAAACGAAGTTAAAGAAATGATGGAGAAGGTTGGGCTGTGATTCAATGTAAAATCCTGGTAATTGGAGATATGGATTTAAACATCAAAATCAACAATGAAGAGATAGAGAGGGTAGACTGATGCAAATATCTTGGAAGCACAAAAAGCCAATATGATACATGCTCCTGAGGAAATAAGAATAAGGATCAGCAAAGTGAACACAGCCTTTGGTAAACTTAGGAATGTTTGGAAACTTAATTGCATATCCTTACGTACAAAACTAAGCATCTACTCAGCTGTTGTAGCCATAGCAACCTACATCAGTGAAACCTAGCGACTTAGGAAAACAGATGCTCAGAAGTTACATGCATTTAATCATAAGTGTCTGGGGATAATATTAGGAGTAAGTTATGAGGAAAGAAAAATTAATGATGAAGTCAGGAAAATGGCTAAAACAAGGTCTCCAGCTCAAATAATTCATAAGAATAGACATCAATGACTAGGGCATATGTTATGAATAGATCATAACTGGCTACCAATTAGGCCTCTGTTAGAAGTCAGAAAATCCAACAAGAAAGAGGGATAAGAACATAAGAACAGCCATACTAGGTCAGACCTAAGATCCAGTAGCTTGTCTCCAAACAGTGGCCAATGCCAGGTGCCCCAGAGGAAGTAAAAAGAACAGGGAATCATCAAGCAATCCCTCTCCCATCATCCATCCTTTGGGAATGGTGGCTAGGGACACCATTCCTACCATCCTGGAGTGAAGAATGGGGGTGAGAGGAAACAACAGAGCAGGACAGGTTTCCCTTAAAGAAACAAAGCATGGCTGCTCTCAGAAACATTGCTGGCTGCTGCTGGCTCTCTCTCTCACACACACACACACTCTCTGCATCACTGTCACACACAGCCAGTCTGTGCCACACTTTCTGTGCCATACACACAAAATCAGTCACAAACACTATCATGCATACTGCCGCACACTCTGTCCACACACACCCAGTCTGTGTCACAAAGTTTGTGTCTCACACACAAAGTGTCTCTCTTTCACACACACACTTTCTTTCTGTAGCCCTAGCCCCACATCTTCAACCCAAAACCCTGCCCCTTTCAGGGGGATGGAGCTGGCCCAAGACCATGTACCAAATATGTGAAGTGGGCCCTTCCCCCCGCAAAAATTATTGCCCATCCCTGGGCTAACAAGATATTATTACTATAGTAACAGGGACTATGGACAAGGTCACCATTATACTAGGCTCTATACAAACACTGAACAAAAAAGACAATCTCTACTCCCAAAACAGCTTAGAATCTAAGCTTAAGACAGAATACTAGATATGGGTACAGACAGCAGCATACAAGGAAACAGTACAATATTTGCCATTTTTATTCATTCTTATCAGAGTATTTGCAGGCTCCCCAATATATACAATGGGAAATGTAACTACTGAATGAAATGAACATCCAATTTTAAAATGGTGTCCATTGCACAACAAGTTTTAATTCAATATTACTCATATTTCTAGAGTAGGGGGCTTCTCAAACTATCTCCTGGCCTTTTACCTCTGTATGCTGAGGTAGCATCCAAGGAGGTGTCATAAGGAGGAGGGAGAAAACTTGTTCATCTTGGCCTCTGAGGATAGAGCAAGAAGCAATGGGCTTAAACTGCAGCAAGGGAGGTCTCGGTTGGACATTCGGAAAAAGTTCCGAACTGTCAGGGTGGTCAAACACTGGAATAAATTGCCCAGGGAGGTTGTGGAATCCCCATCTCTGGAGATATTTAAGAGTAGTTTAGATAAATGTCTATCAGGGATGGTCTAGA